TTTGTATTACTTAAGTATAATTTTGGATTATATTTTAAAGATACTCAATTTTAATTCCGTCTTTAGGTGTCCCGCACCATATTATAAAAAAAACAACTTATGAACATAAATATATACATTTAGGATTTGTTTGTAAATAAAATTCCTAGTTAGCATCTAATGGTCTTTTTTCGAAATAAAGCCGATAATCATAGCATGGTCCTCTAAAATTAGGTAAATTTGCTAGAATTGGTACTTTTTGTGCTGCACTGCCTATAACTCCACGCTGATTATTTTTTGCTTGAAATCTCTGAAAATCGATTCCACCATTATCACAAAAATTAAATTGATTGATTTTTAAATTATAATGTTTACCACCCTGACAGGCTAAAAGAAATGCATTATGAAAGAATACTCTTTTAATAAGAGTATTAGGTATTAATATCGATGTTGCTGAATGTGATAAAATATCAGAGATATTTTATTGAGTTAAAGCTGCAGATCTTTTTATTTCGTCAAGCCCTTTATCTTGTAATTCTTTCATTTTTCTATCAAGAACTTTTAATAAATTTGGAAATTGATGACGATCACGTAAATTAATACTACGAATAATCGAATATTCCATTAAATAGTGATTGATACTATCAACAGATTGATGTACAGATAAAGCTTTATATTCAGTGCTATCTTTTTTTTTATAGTAGCAACATAGGTAGCTACTTGATTATCTAGTATAGATAACTTAGAAATAGATTTTAATTCAGTTTTATAGTTTTCGTCATGTAGATAAACTTCTATCATACTTTTTCGAAACTTTTCAAAATGCTCTAGCCAGTTTTTTTTGCCTTTTTCGTATTGTTGATATGTGATTTATCTTGATAAAATAAAATTGCTTTCTCAATTTTAATACTTTTAGATGTTTTAGACTGTAAACTTGGATTATTTAGAAGTTTACTGGTGGTATTGAATTGTACGGTTTTATTTGGATCCATTGTAGTTTTTAAAAAGAAGCAAAAGTATACTGATCTTTTTTTTTTATTTATTTATTTATATTTTTTCATTAATATAAAAGTCTAATTTTTACTAATAGTGATATATCTGTAACACATGATTTTATCTAATCACAGGCATTAGTAATCGGGAAATATATCAGTTATTTACTGCTCAAATTGCTAATAACTCTCAGGACCCCCACGGCAAAGCCATGGGGCCCTAATAATATCTCTGATTTCGCAGTAAATAACTATTACATATAAGCTAATTTATTTTTGCTATAAATGAAAAAAATAAATAAGTAAAAGAAAGAAATATACAAAGATCAATAAAAATGTGAAGATCTTCAAATGACAGTTGATTTATACGTAGCGATAGTATTACGCCCAAAATCAGAAGAATAAATCAAGCGATTATAATGAAAATACGGCAATATGTGAAAAAGATAGTATAAGCTTTGCTATGAGAAAATTATGTAGTGAGGTAATATTATCAATTGTGGGCATAAAATTTAAAATATTTAAAATATTTTGAATATTCTGAAATATTATAATATTGAAAATTTTTTAAAAATATTTTGAAATATTTCAAATTATTTTTTAAAATTTTTCAAAATTATAATATTTTGAAATATTTTGAAATATTTTGAAATATTTTTTAAAATTTTTTATTATTTTTGTATATCACAAATTTATTCGAAATATTTTGGTCTTATAAATTTGCTGATATCAGTAGTATCAATAGTAGGGTTTACTTGAGAAAAATAATCAGATTTTTAATATAAAGATCAAATTTATTAGAAGGAAAATTTGGAGATAAATAAGAGGCAAGTCAATGTCTAGTATAATTAGCTAAGAGAGTAATTGCTATATGTTGGGGGTTGTTAAATGCAGTTCTATATTGACAACTAAAAATAATATCTCTAACTAAAACTTGAGCAGAACTATAGTTAGGATAACTTTTTAATTCAAAGTAAGCTGTGACTATTATTTGGGTATAAGAAGTTGCAGCAAAGGCTATAACCAAAAATTACAGAAAGCATGATAGTATTGGGTAGCAGTAAAATACTGTCAACAAAATTCATCAAGAGCAAGTATTTGGAGAATATCGTTTGCAAAGCTATTTTCTTAGTATGCTAGTTCGTATCTTCATATATATTTCAAATGCAATTGGTAGGCTTAATACATATAATGCTATAAGCAATTCTTGGGTTGTAATATTTAAGAGTTGTCTGGTTCTGGTTGTATTTAGAAATCTAATCCTGGGTAAAATTATTTATACCTATACTTTGGCTTGTAGATAATTCATGCTTAATTCTCAATTAAGGTTTACAGTAAGCTGCTAGCTCTATAGTTGTTATGAAAGCAGAAGCTTCAAGTATGCTTTTCTGAACAAATCTTTTTTAATTTGTCAAGACTTCCAATAGTTGCTACAAAAGCAGAAGCTTCAAGTATGCCTTTCTGATCAAATTTCTTTCAATTTGTCAGGACTTCTAAAAAAAACTATTATTGTTCTAATAATAACAGAGGGAGGGAAGAGTTGTAAATAAATATCCTTTCAAAGATTGATCTAGCAAGAAATCCTTTTCAAGAGAGAGGGTTTCTTTTGAGAGCAAGAATTTTTAATTCAAAGAAGCAGAGTTTTTTTTGTAAATCAGCAAAATTTTTCCTTTCACCAGAAGATACTAAATTGTTATAAGTAGACTGTAGCTTTCTTAATATAGCACAATAACAAAATATATAGCTATAGAGCTCTGTTGCAAGATTATAATAGTGTAGAAGTGGAATATACTAAAGATAGTTCGTAAAAAATATATAGTTTAAAGAAAAATATATTTTATTTACAATATAAAACTTTAATTATAAGAGATAATGTTCCTATAACTAAAGGGTGTTTATATTTAGAAGGAATGTCTGAGTCTTATCTGGCAGGAAGAGGGAAAAGCCAGGGTTTATATATCTTTTTTCTAAACTAATAAAATAATAAAAAATAGTAGAAATAGTAGAAATGGTAGAAATAGTAGAAATGGTAGAAATGGTAGAAATGATAGAAATAGTAGAAATGGTAGAAATGGTAAAAATGGTAGAAATGGTAAAAGTGGTAGAAATAGTAGAAATAGTAACTACTTTTTCTGTTTATTATGCTATGTGAAACTACTTAATAATATTATACAATAATATAATAATACAATAATAGAATAGAATAGAATATAATAATACTAATAATAATACTAAATAATACTAATAATAAACAATTTAGAAAATTTATTCTATAACAATAAGTTACTAAAAAATCTAGATTAGCTAGATTATAAGTATGAAAAGCTCTAGTAAGTTTATCTTGAAGGTAACTAACAGGTTAATACTTTAGGTTAATTATACCCAGTATAAAATTAGTATCTTATAAAGATATAGTAGCATAAAGAATTTAAATAAATAGTTCTCTAGTTGAATTATAAATATAGTATTTAGTATATAACTGTTGGGTAAACTATTTAAATAGACAATTAAAAATTATATGTGTTGCTAGTTATATTCTTCAAAATCATGTTCCAAATAATTAGTAGTTAACTAAGATCAGCTTAGCACACAAATCAATAAAAAGAGGTATAGTGATATAGCGAAGTGGTCAAGTTGTTACACCCAAATAGCAGATCAAGAGTTCGATAATGAAAAATTGAAAATTCTGCTTGTGTTATAGCTAACTGTATTTAATGATTAGTTGAAATAAAATATCTGTAACTACGGTCACATCAGCAAGACTAGGAGGTCTGGGGTATTTGTATAATATAATATTATACAAAGAAATGCAAACTGATAATAGGTAGTGCAAACACAAGATAAGCCCCAGGTTGTGTAAATCTGGAGAACTGCAAATATGGAAGCCTGCTTGGCAAGTCCTGAGTAGAGAGATAATACAGATCTTTGACAGAGCTACTATAAAGGTTGATCCAAGAAACAAAACCCATATAAACTGAACTAGATAAAATACGGAATATTAGGGTTACACCTACACCAACCAGACTGCTGCAAATAGAAAAGAAAACCAGAAATCTAGCTAGAGAGCCCCTGCAATTGTAGACAAGTTATGGTAATGGTAGGAGATTTACTAGCTACTCTTTGGAAAGTACCTGTCTAGGTGCAGAAGAAAAATATATAGTTACCGGACCATCTAGCTTGGAAGTCAAAAACCAGGGTTGGGCCCCTGCTATTAACTAATAGATGAAATCACCAATACCAACTAGGCTGCTGTTGAATCAGAGAAAAATAAGTGATTACATATTAGACTATCTGGATTGAAAGTCTGGGTAAAGAAAGCTAGGTTACTAAAGTATTAGGAATATATTGTGAAGTAAGTTCTGGGGTTTAAGTGAATTCTACAAGAGCAGAAGTAGATTTAGATAGTGGAGTTCAGCTAAACTAGGGTTAAACTATAGAAAAAAACAGGAAAAAGTTTAAGCTAGAAGAAAAACTATAGACAAGGACTTCAACTCAGCACTATATATACTTCCAGAATAGGTAAAACTGAATCGCAAGTAGTGGGCTATAGTCCATATATACCAAACTGAAGCACAGGCTAGATGTGGTATAAAGTGAGAATACTACGGGCTCTGCTAGGTTTATCTCGAGGATAAAGGACTAGAAGTAGATTACAAAAGTGATGAAAGTCTGCTTTAAAGTCCTAAGTTATCATGTGAACATGCACCAAGAAGACCAGTTTATAGAATCAGAGAAATGGTTGCCGATTGATATAGGCCTTGAAGTATATAGGTGCAGAGTGTTTATATAGGTAACTCTCTAGTAGATTGCAGATATAGCAACTAGTATAGAACTTAATAATAGGCAGACTACTTAAATAGACACTCAAAAGATACAAGTATAACTAGATGTATTCTCTAAATATGTATAATGATATTCAAAATCAATAAAGCATACTTGATCAAGAGATCACCTTAATACTGGAAAAAAAAAACAAACCAATAAAAGCTTTCAACAATGAGATCACTTTGATATTAAAATACAGTATATATACAGTATATATATATTGTTATAAGGCTGTAGCCTTCTTAGTAAAATACAATCAAGTAACAAGATCATCTGATATAGTGATTAACTATTGCAAATATATACAGTATGAAGGTGTAGTTATTCACTTAATTACATAGCAGCAGGCAAACAGTTCAGAATAGTAACTGTATATAGAATAATTTTATTTAGTACAAGAATAGTGATAAGCCTTGCCTGTAGAAATTACACTAGAAAGAGAATATTACACTTTACAAGATAAGAAGAATTAAAGGTTATCAGAGTTTAATTGAAGTATAAGAACTTAAGATCTGGCAGGAAGAGGAAAAAGCACTTTTTATATATCTTTTCTACCCAAGGCAAAGGTATATAACACACAATAAAGAAGTAATACTTGGCAGAGGAAGTTGGAAAATCATGCTAGAGGGAGTTGAAAGATTATAGTGGGGGAAGTTATAGGAATATAAACATTACTCATTTTGCATATATTTTATTTATTATTTGTAAAGAAGAGCTTGGGAAAAAAGAATTTAGAGAATCTTATAACACAGTACTAGGCTTGCGATGCAATAACTTGTATTCGAAATACTTAAGTTCATATAAGAGAATCTGAGTGATTTCATGTAGAGGAATTTGGGAGAAATTGTATTACTTTCTTGTATTATTTTTTTGTATAATCTAAAATATTTCTTTGTATAAACTTGTATTATCTTAGATCACGTGAATCATGTGATTGCGGCATATATCTTTTTAGCCAATCAAATTATTTTTATACAATAACTATAAAATTACTATCTAATATATATAATAAGAGCAGTGTTATTTATTACCTGATTATTTTTTATTAGAAACTTATTCACTCTCTCCTCTCTTAATATAAAAAAAATCAGATTCTTATTAGTCGCATGATATGTTATACTTAAATTTTTGTATATATAAACTTATAGCAAAAATATATAGAAGTATATATAAAC